GTTTTGCTTCAGTCCCATCTCCGTTATCGTCACTACCATATTTTTCAGAAGTGTACAGAATTTCTACAATAAAATTTTTGAAATATAAAGATATAGTTACAATGACAAATTCTTACTTGAACTCTTAGCTGTCTCGTTAGACATTTTCATTAATTTTCTTAATTTCTCTTAATTTTTTCACTCAGTGCGGCTGACGACTATAACCTCACTATTACTTATTATGCTACACATACCATAGATAACTCAAAAACGCTCGAGAAGAAAACGATCGAGGTGTTGTATTCTATAGAGTCTACTGTTACTGATCTTAATGGTTATTGATGCTTTTGACGTTTATCATAACGCTTATCTATGTTTGACGTTTTGATATGGTTTTAATTGTTTTGATACATTTTGAATGTGTTGTTAAAAACAATTAAAAAGGTTGCAGCTAAAATAGGTAAGTGAAGACTAAATACAATAATATATTTGAAAATTAGTTTGTGCATATTTGATCACTTTCATAAAATACATTTTCTCCTCTTGATGCTGCTTAGTTGTAGCAAATTAATTTAAAAAACTCAATAACTAGCTACATTTCCTAACCGTTTGTAATCCAGTGCTTATGGCTGTTTAACAGCTTTATTATTTGTTATTATTGATTCGTAATAAAAACAATAGTGATTACAATTTTATTGAAATGTTTTTAGGTATTGCTCATCTTTTCTGGGTTCTAGTAATGAATTTAGTCAAACACTTCTCATCAAATTGAATAAAATGCCTTTTACAGTTGATGCTATAGCTGCTCAGCAAGTACAAGAACGTTTAAAAGCTTTACATGGACTAATTTATGAGATAGAAAAGAAAAGACAACAAAGTGAACATGGACTCAATGCCATCACAAAATTTCAGAACAGTCAAGATGATAAAACTTCATATCATTATCAGGTACAGATATTTGTATTAAATATTTGAACAAGTAATGCTGTTCCACTTCGGTCTACATTTTAGATTCAATTTTAGTTATAATTTCATTACGAAATTTTAATATGTTTTGTGATAACTAAAATTACTACATAAATCTTACGAGACTAATAATAATAATATTTAAACAAGTAAATGAGAAGTTTCACTACATTATTTGCAGAAAATCATATACCCATTTGAAATGTGGTGAACTTACTAAATCCAAACAAAATTTCAGTAAATTTATGTAGTGGTCAGCGATTCTGGTACATTGTTAGTTACACATGCAAAATATATATATACAATATCCAAATATTTTGCAATAATCTGGATATTCTCTCTAAAAAATTAGAATCGATATAAATATGAAGTACTTTTATGTAGTTTGTTTAAAGTAAATACAATGTTTTCTGATTCAATTTTATTCCCATTTGTTTCTTTTCCATCTGTTTCTTCTGTTGTCGTCTCAATTGGATTTGCTTGCAATATTTCAAGTGAGAACATTTCCTGAAGAAAAAGTACTCTTTATGGGAAAATTAATAAATTCTGCAGCATTGTCTATGAGTAAATGTAGCTTATACTAGTTCAAGCCATAATGTTCAATTTATGTGCAATTTTCTTACACAAAACAGTAATGGAAAATTTACCTTTCTTTGTTCATTATCTAATTTCGGGAAATATGTTACGTTTAAAAAGGTTTCATTTTTTTGCTTTACGTGAACATCTTCAGCGGGTTTTTCCTGTGATATAGTAATATGAAATAACAACAAATATGCTAACAAAATAAGTGAATCGTATTTTATACGTAACATTCCTTACTTAAATGGCATGCACATTTAATTGTATTATTAATTTCAAGTAATAAATTATTACTGGGATCGTAAAAAAAAATTTTGCTTGTAATGATTCTTATAAAGTCACATGTTGCCATGCAATGCCAAGTAGAAATAAGTTTACTTGATCATAAAATTTTCATTGCATACCTGTAAAAATGTATACTAAACACTTTTCTTAGTCATAAATTTTCATGAAATCTTAATGTTGACCCTTTTTACTAAAAGATACGTTGTTTTGTAAAGTTTATAATTAACTAATCACGGGCATGGTTTTCCCCTATAGCTGCAAATAAAATGCATTAAATAGTTAATTATTTTAGTTTTAAAATGTTAATTTTGCATTTTAAACAGCAAATGAAGTTAAAAGGCTTACTTAAGACGGCAGTTTCTCATGCAGAACAAGAGGAAGATGTAATACGAAAAGCCTTGCAGAAGATAATTGAAATTCGAAATATTAAAAATGAACGCAGAATTCAGGTACTTTCGTTTATAAAAATTGTATACAACTTTCTTTTGTAAATAATTTTTAGGCGCGACATGTGGACAATAAGGAAACCATTAGACGTGGTGCTTGTATGAAAATGTTGGCTAGTTCTGGTCAGACATTGCCTCTCTTTGTCGGAAAAATTGGAGAAGAGCCACCACCTTTGTGTGGCGCTATTCCTGCTGAACCAAATTACTATGCTAAAGTTTGTAACATTTGAATTTTTTTATATTCTCTACTAAATTCAACATCCTCAAATCTGCTTTTGTTGAATAATACAGTTATAATATTAAGAAAGTTTAATTGTCTTTCAATACTTTTTTGCGTTCTCAGTTTGAACGTCTTGTGCTATAAAGTAAATTTTTTCTGTGTAGGTGGGGGACATGGTTGCTGCATTTGTGAAAGTAGGCGAAGGAGACGGCAAAGATTGGATTGTAGCCGAAGTAGTAAGTTTTAATCACGCTACCAACAAATACGAAGTTGACGACATCCTTAAAGAACAAAATCAAACCAAACGCCACACTTTAAGTAAACGTTTAGTCGTACCACTGCCACTAATGAGAGCAAATCCTGAAACGGATCCTGGTGCCCTGTTCCCCCAAGGAACTGTTGTCATGGCCCTTTATCCTCAAACAACCTGCTTCTATAAAGCAGTAGTAAACAAGGTGCCACAAACGCATGCAGACGAGTACGAGGTCATTTTTGAAGACGCAAGTTATTCAGAGGGTTACAGCCCACCTTACGGGGTTGCACAGCGTTACGTTTTCGCAATTAAACAAAAAACTAAGCAGACCTGACAGTCAATTTCTGACAGTAACATGTCAGACTCTGAGAATTCAAACACACCTGAATAAGATGCAACTACAATGTAAGTTCGAAATCACAAATATTTCTTTCAAAGTATACATTTACTTACTTCATGCAAATAAACACATCTTCATGTAAAATGTGCTAATTTTTATTTTATTAAAAATGTAGATTCAATCTAATGGTAAATTTGCACATTCAAATATTACCTTATCTTTTTAGATGTCAAGTAAAAAGCAAAAATTGTAAATTTAAACATTTTTTAGAAATATAAGTTAAATCGTGATTTTAAAAATTTCAAATTGTTTAAAGAATGTAAGTAATTATGTATTATATACATCCAAGAAATCACGTCAAACGAAATACACGCATTTCACAAATATGTCAGAGTCGGGCACAGTTTTGGTACATGGTGCTTGAAAGTGCTTCCAGCCCTTTCACGGCTTAAAAGCACTGCAATTGAAGCCCTTTCATGATAAAATAGTTAGGGCTTGATAAACGAATTACTTTATAAGAGTGCAATGAAATTTGCAAAATCAATCAAAATGCATAGGAATTTAAATCAAACTACTCTCGAAGTAATTCATAATTGAATTTCCTGGGATTCTGAAATATAATTGAGGCTTCAGATCCTAGGGCACTTTAAGTAACGGCTTTGTCCTTGGATCTCTTTAATGAAGGCTTTGCCTAACTCTGAAATTCATAATCTTTTCAGGCGTGTGCTGTTTATAATTAACAGTTATTAACTGATGTAAAACTTTTTTCTTCAAAAAAATAAGAATTTTGATTATTGCTTGGTATTTATATTCTTGTTTTAATAATAAAAAAAATAGTTTTAATCACAAAAAAGCTAATTTTAAGACAGGAACCTACAAATAATGAAAAAAATAAAATAAAAAAATACAGAGATGTTGAATTTATATTACTAATCTTACATCTTTTTGTTGTCAAAAGTATACATTTTTTTTTTAAGAAAAAACGGACCCTTGAATAAGCACAGGACGTCGGTACCTGCAACTTCTACATCAACATGATTAATTTACAAATATAGAGGTGAAGGAATAAAAAAATTAAATACGAAACTTGTCAGCAAAGTATGTCACTGATATTCAACTTACTCATAACCCAGTCAAAGTCTTTTTTAGCCAGCCACATACATCCACAAAACATACACTCACAATAATTATATAAACATGATACTATGGTAAAAGTTGTTTTTAAGCCTTATTCTGACAGTAAAATGGAAAACGGATTGACTTGGTTGGATTTTTTGTTTTTCTTTTATCTGTTTCGCTTTTTTCTTTCCTGGTATGTTTTTTTTTTACTGTTTTCTTATTTGTTTTGTTTACTTGGCATCGAGAGAAAAATTACCGAATGTATTGCTGGAAATGTGTGAAAATAAAGAAACTAAACGAAATCAGTGAAGGATAAATAAAAACCTGCACTGTTGCTTGTCGACGTGTGACGGACAATGGATCTGTTAATATGGTGCGTAGTAACCTCCCCGACGATACGCCCTGAAATGAAATTCTAATAAACGAAAATTTGTAACAAAAAATAGAACACACAGAATTACACTATTGCTCCTGAAATTGTAAAAATCATTAATACATATGTCGGGTTTTTTGCACTAATATAAATCATTATTAATTTGTAAAGTTTAGAATGCACAGCAGGCTGTACATTACAACTCTTCAAACTTTTCAACTTTAAACTAATCTTTTTACACTTTAAAAAAGACAAACACCCAGACCTGGTACAAGCAACAGTTTACTACCTTCTTTAATTTTTTATTTTTATAATAGCAACTAATTTTATTAAAGTCAAACTCATTTTCATTTTGAAATTTACCTCTGAAAAAATGTATTAGCATAAGTATCAGAAAACCCTTCCCACCAAAAATTATTTCCAATACCATAAATATTCAACATAACATCAGCACAGTGGAGTAATTTAATTTCGTTTTGGTTATTTTCAGACATTGAATGTTGTTAAAATGATAAGGGAAAGGAATTGCAAAATGAGTAGGGATTTTACTATAGATTAGTTTTTAAACAAATAAATGTGAGAAAATGACATCTAAAATCCAGCTATTCATTTTTTAATATCAAGCTGTGGAATACAATGCTTTCAGGATTAATTTGACTGTCATTAGTTATATTCTACCAAATCATGCTTCTACTCTACTATATTCCTCTTTGGAGTCAAATGTAGCACAAACTGGTATGAATAATTTTATATTTATTATTTTATTTCCACTAATTGATGAAAATTTGTATATAACTTTCATGAAATTGGAAAATATTTAGCTAACCTCGGTCGACGTGTCGGCCTAAAACCGGCATAATAACCTCCTCGTATTATACTCCCTCTCCCTGTACCCCTAAAACGCATTCCACGAGGAGGCCTATTTGTAGTTGACAATCCAGGTCGATTTGTTCGTTTGGGCATCACCTGAAAAGCAAATGATGAAGTAATTAAACACTTGTTAGCATTAAGATTTAAGCTAATTTATGGGTAACATCTATAAAACCAAATATAATACCTTAATCTGTCTTCCCCTAAAGATAGATTCATCCATTGCCATAGCTGTTTGGACCGAGTCTCTATCACCAAATTCAATATATGCAAATCCTTTAGGATGACCGTCATATTTGTTACATAAAATGGTCACTCTGTTAATAGAGCCACAACCATGAAAATGTTGCTCTAATTCTTCAGCTGTTGCACCATAATCAACATTTCCAACATATATACTTCTGTTATCTACTTCCATTTTTTCTTCTATAGACATATTTAAAGGACTTGCTAAAATTTTAAGTTTTTCATTCACTGTTACTATGAAAAGCCCACAACCATAAATCATATGCAATAAAACTTTTTACTTAAGCCTGGAGGACTGCCCATATTCATTTGTTTGTCAACTTCGCTTTGAAGTTGTTTCAGCTTCTCAGCTTCTTCTTCCATTTCACGAACGCGAGCTTTTATGGCCTCTAATTCAGGGTCATCTCCACCTGCACCATCAATATCAGTATCATTTAAAAGAGCATCATCGTTTACACCGTTTTCATCAAGAGAATCTAAATGTTCTTCTGAACCCAAACCTAAATCTTCATTTTCCGCCATAACCTTAAAGAAAAACAATAAGCTGTTTTATTCAAATTAGTGTTAATGTATACCTGCAATTATTAATTTGAGGCATACTCGATTAGGTCATTTTAAATACAGCAATTTAGTTTTATTATAAAGGGTCTTTTGCACAATTGTTATCGTCAATGATGGTGTGTTAAGACGATTTACAAATCTCGAAAATGTCACTTATGAATGTTGTATAAATTTTATATATGTTATATTTTTACTTACCCTACTTAACAAAGCTTAACGAAAATAAAAATAAATTAATTATCTTACAAAATTAAACACAATTTTGCCGGCGTTTCTATCAATACAATAACCGGATTAGAAAATCACTAGACTTACCATACCCACCACCATTTCTAATGTAAAACATCCCTAGATTTATAAAAATGGAAGCCAAGTTTATAGCAAATACCAACATCTATAAATAAAAAGCAAAATCGCACGAATTTAAAAAAGTTTTACTTGTATTAAAGAATGACTTTCGCTTTTTTGTAAATTAAAAATAAATTTTAACTTTTAAAGGTAGTAGTGCATGTATTCTTAATAGTAAAGTTTTTCTGTGGTACTAACTGACTACTTATCAGATATATTACCACTATTTATTTCTGTTAATAACGAAATAATTATATCATAATTTTAATTTTTATTGGCTGCATATGCCAATTTAACAAAAAACAATATCTTGAAATTTGGTTAATTGAATGAAGTAGGTACTATTCCTTGAATATTATTTGAATCTGTTAGATGAAACTTAATTTTGACGACTCATTTGAATATTATAAAAAAAAAAAAGAAATTATGAGTGCTATCAGCACAGGACAATGTAGTATTATCATTGATTACTATACATCTATTAGAAAACCATAATGGCCGACATCAGTAACAATGCAACAACAATTGAAAAAGAATGATGGCCGACAACTGCAACAATTAGAAAAGAATGATGGCCGACACTACGTCATAGGAGCAATAAAAATGGCCGGGGACAGGGGGAAGCACTAGTTATAATAAAAAAGATAGGCATCGGCTTTTTAAAACTAAGTTTAAATATACTTTCCATCAATAGAAATCGTCATTTCTTCAGAATTAAAGCATAAAGGATTAATACAATTTTAATTGCATAAAAAAACGAATAGGATAACGACGGTGGCATCTTTATTGCATTTTTTAAATTGTAAAAAATAAATACAAAACAAAGTCTAAAATATTATAAAGTAAACAGTAAAAATAGTAGCTTAATTGGTACTTAGAAAAATTGAGCGGACCAAAATGCGGAATTAAATATAATTTACTCTTTTATTTTACTTCGTTATTTTATAGCAAGAAAATTGAAAGTTTTATCAGAAAATAGATTTTTACCAAATCGAAATAAAAAATTCCTTATTTCTGGACCTATATAAACAATTTTCCAACTTAGGTGCTCAAAATTTCGGTCTTTATACAGTCGTTTAAACCAATTTAAATTTGTATGAAATAAAAGCTCAGGAGAGTGTCGTTAATTGACATGTGCTTGAGAAAAATCGAAGATAATGATTCATAATTTTAGCTCTTTTTTTACCCATTTTTCGAATTTGGCACGCAAAATTTCGCTCTTTATAGACTCGTCCCAACGAATTTAAATTTGTATGAAAAAAAAAGCGCAGAAGGGTGTTGTTAGTTAGAAATGGTTCAATCATTTCGGTTTCTTTTTAGCCAATCATCTAATTTCTTTGTAAACCACCCAGATGTGTACTTCATATCTTATAAATAAATGTTGATATTTATTAAAATCTGGTCAACAATTATCTCTACATTATTCCTTTTTGAAATGTTTAAAATTAAACATAACATTTTGCTGCATTTTCCACAAAATTCTGGTTCTAATCCTTCATATGGAATTGTCGAAGACGGAAAAATGGCGATGCATTTTAACTCGTCCATAAAGAGAGCAATTCCATGACAGTGTAAAGTCTGTACTGTCGACGGATAGCTCTCTTTATTTTCGAGTCATTATAAAATTTGGGCTTTTATAGGGCGGAATTACTGTACTGATCCTTAATCCTTAACCATCTGATGAAAGCTCGGGAACATCTACAAATTACATAATTACAATTAGTACAAATGTTGAACTTATTTATAAAGTGTGGTATGTTTAGATTTAGAGAATATAAAGTTAGTTTGATTGTACAATTAATGGCATCAGATCTATATAAAATTACAGCTCTTTTAACACACGCTTTGTTGAAATTATAAAATATAACAGCAGGATTAGAATAGATAATACAATTAACCGTATAATTGATATTTTAAATTGTTCAAAAATGTTAGAAGCTGGCCTTTTATTTTCTACGTGTAAAATATTAGTATAGTTGTTGTCAAATAAACGTGTTGTTGAAAAATTAGACCATCTTCGTAAACTGCGTATCTTTTCGGTTACACTTTGTACTTTATTTTATAGTTTAAATACATTTCATACGTACTTTTACATTTTGTTAAAATTTCGTTTGTGTATTATGTACTTTATTGTACTAATGTTACCTATATGTCCCATATTTTCTACCTTGAGTCTAGTTTTGTCGTAAAGTGCGAATGCCACAAAGCCTTCCGTAAATTAGTAAACTACACATATTACATACCTACTTCGAATCCTCTCTTCTAGCGCCAGGTTAAAAAATAAAAACTCAAAAACATTTGTGTAATCGTTCGGTGTTTACAGATTTCCAAACGTATTTGTTCTATTTATTAGAACCCATATCTTTATGTATGTAGTTCAAAACATGTAACGGGACTTTTATATTCAATCGCAGTAAATCGCAATGCTATCATTCCTAACTTAAATTTTCATTTCTCTGGTTTTCTTAATAAAACCAAAAACCAAATACTTACAGTGCAAAGTTTGCATAAAATCTTTGTAGACTGTACTGCCTTTTTATAACATTATTTAAAGCACTTTGATTAGATGGATATTTCCTATATTTGCTCTCATGAGTAATAAGAAATATAACAAAGTTAAACCGAATACGTTGAACTAATTAAACATCCCAACTATATATTACAGCAAGCAAAGTTTACCGAAGAAATTTTTGTGTGTAATTAGGCTGACACTCTGTATGTTGACAATAAGATGATTATCACTAATTTAAATATAAAACAAGTACATATTAACATACAGAGACAATAGTGCAATAAAGTAATTAAGCACTGCGTTATTTATAATTTTAAAACATGATATTAACTTTTGTGTACTCTCTAAACAAGATAAGAACAGATTTAGCTCCAACGAGACTACTTTTTGGATCATTTTTATACGTATATCATCAATTTCATCACAGACTTAAACATATTCAAATTTTAGTGTCTTTTAACTGTTGTATTATAAAATACCACTTTTATACAAAAACCAAAAATATTGAATAGTTCAAATCCCATCGCTGGAGCTATTTTTCCGTAACAGTTACCTTCTTTAGTCCCTGAAGAAGATAACTTTGTTACTGAAAGATAAACTATTATAAAACTAGTACCAAAACACACTTAAACTCAAACACCAACACCTAAACCCAAAGTACCATTACGTAATAAAGTTACCATTTTTATTCTCCAAAAAAGGTAACTTTATTACTGATAGCTAAAGTAAAGTAATACTAGTACCAAAACACACTTAAACTCAAACCCCAAGGCCGAAACGCAACATGAAACGTTCAAAAACTACCCTTAGGTACCAAAATTACTTTCTTTATCCCCCAAAAAGGGTAACTAAGCTAAACTACTGTAAAACTAGTACCAAAACACACCTAACGTCAAATAATAACGTCAAAACGAAACACGAAATGTCCAAACTACTTTTAGGTAACAAAGTTACCTTCTTTAGTCCCCGAATGGAAAAGTACATTGGACATTTGGTGTCGTATTTTGGTGTTAGAATTTTAGCTATTTAATGTGTTTTAGTCTTCTAATTCTAGTACCAAAAATTTAGAGTGGTAATAAGGCACATCTTACGTAATATCGTAATAAGAACAACGATAAATGAAATAAAAATAGTTAATCAATCCAATACGATTAATAAAAGGTAAATTATGCACTCCTTTTCAGTCAATATTAATGTATACGTATGTTTTGATTGATCTACTGTTTTAATTTTTGAAAAATTTGTAAGTATGGGTACCACAACATAATGTAAAAGTTAACTTTTGCGTCTATCTGATGATAATTTTCAAGGCTGACGAAATCTTTGAAGTCTTACATTAACATTTGATAAATAATTTTAAAGTTGTTAAACTATTTCTTTGTATTTTCTGTGAATTAATTTTAGAGAGTTAGTTCGTTTTTTCTCTGTCTTGCCCACTTCATATAATTTTTTTTTTTTTTGAACTTGTGAACTTATAAAATCTTTTCTCACTTCTTACGCATTAAATATTTTTATTACTTCTGAAATAGCCTTGCAATTTTAGTTGTTCGCTTTGAAACAATTTTGTATGAATTGAAAAAAAAAAATATGTTACCTATGCTAGATACGGAATCCACACTTTAAAGAAAACATAACTTGCGTGGCATAATTGAACGTGGAGAATGGTAAAGATAACACTTATCATAAGCATACTTTTTATCAAACATTACCATATTTACACGTCTGATAAAAATGGTTGTTCGACTTAAATACGTACTTCAACTAGGCAGGTGATTTTTTTACTAGCGTTGCTTTTGTAATTTTCAACACTAAAAAGGTATGAATGAAAGATTAATAATATATGGTTATTGAACTGAATCTAAAGAAAATTTGTAAATGATCGTGATTTATTTATACGTATTTTATAATTTGTTTCATCAAAGAAAAGTCGAAAATATTCAGTTATTTTATAATTGTTTTCAAAATGGAGCTAACAAACGAAACTTTAATGTTAATGCACTCTAAGTATGTTTACTACATTCATATATTAACATTTTTTAAATACGAAATCGAAAAAACAGTCAATTTTATTTATAAATTTACCTAATATAAATGTATTTCAGTTAATATAAAACTTTAAGTTTGGCTATTTAATTGTACGGTGTAGGCAATTAAAAATTTTAAAAATATATCACTAATTTTTTTTACGTATTTTGATAAGTTAAATAATTATAAAATCGATTCGTCAATTAGTTATCATAGGAAATAACTCTCAACAGTTTCAATTTGTTACTCTGTATAAATGCCGCATTTCACACGATTATCAATAATAAATAGTGATGATACATTCGATCTGCTATCTTCTATCATAATACAAAAAAAATAGATTAGGAAAATTCTTACATAACTTAAAGATTATGTAGAAGAAATATTTTTCTTGTCACATGCTCGGAGTTAGAAAAGTAGGAGAATGATGAAAATATCATGGATAGAATCAATTAGGAAAAAGGATGGTAGGACATCTTCTTGTAATTAAATACTAGGAAGGGCTAAGCTAGAGATGTACTAGATGTAGAAACAGGATGAACAAAGAGAGCCGGAAGAAAATCTAGATTAGATTACTGTCCACGAATAGTTATGGGTAAGGATGATGTGGTTTCTTTTCAGGAAATACTAAATATTGGCTCGGGAAAGGAAAATATTTGGTAAAAATGCCTTTGGCTTTTCGGTATTTAGTTTCATGAAATATTTCAGTTTTCATCCACGCAACAGTGAAACACTACCATTAAAAAACATTATGCAAAAGCATTTTTAACGTTAACTAAAATAATATTAAATTGTTGAATAATACGTTAAGAATAATTTTATTATTTTTAGCACAGATTAATAATTAATTTTCTATTATTATGTAATTAGAGCATGTCATATGTTTTTGTACTGCATTAAATGTTTAATTATCTGAAAACTGTACCTAATTTAAAATAAACTTCCACGCTTTCATCATATTCATTCTTTTATAAACTTAAAAGGAACCTTTAGCCACTAATAAAATAAAAACTTACCTTGCAATGTGTGAAAACAGTTCTGAGGACGTTACAACTACCGACTATTAATCTTTAGAAATTACTTTAACAAATACCAACTTTCTACCATTTGTTTAAATCCTCTTCGGTAATGTTTGTTTATCGAAAAGTTGCTCGGCTAGAAATCTGATCATTCGCAAAGGTGCCTTACAAAAAAATCAATTATTTTTTTTAATATAACGTAAACGCCAGTTCGAATAGTGCTTTATCTAAAATTTGATTTCTTAATTTTTCGACGTACGTTGTGTAAAATGTTTAAGTATAAAATTCGTTTAAAAAAAATACAATCTAAAAAATATTCCCTCTGAATTTCGAAGCACAAAAATGTTGCGATTGTTGGAAATCAGTTTAAAGAACTTATTTTAGAATTCAACGCTTTTTTGAACTTATTTTTAAAAACGTATCTTCAAAATTGTAAAAAAATAATCTTACAATGTTAAAGCACTATTAATTAAACTTGCTTAGCCGATATTGCGAATTTAATAATTTAACTTAATTACTTACTTAGAATATAAGCACAAAAATTTTGTGAACATTCTTCGAAGTGTACAAAATAAGATTTTTATAATGATTAAGATAATCTAATCTAATATCACAAATATCGTAAAATTGTATTTTTTCGTAGCCGTTTGTTATACTTACAATTAGAAAAAAATATCTGCGTACCATTCGAGAACGAAAACTTTTCTATCGTATTGACTAATTAATTATTTCAAACTAAACGACTTAAACAATATTGGCTACACCTAAAGAGTAAAAGCAGTGAACATTAAACATAAAACATGTATTGTTAATAGTCAGATTTATTATTGCAACTACATATAAGTCGAAAATTTTTATTCAAGCGTTTTGTTTTACAGCTTTCACATCTTTTTTTTTTGGTTCGCTGTATTTTACTTAAATTAATCTTGTGTATACAACAGATAAAATTTTATCGTTATATATGTATTAATATGTGATCTACGAATTAGTACAAAATTGATAAATTGTCTTGAAATCGTAAATTTGAGTTCTGAATACCAAATAATGACTTGAAAAAACGCTATAAAAGTTTGTTACCGTTTGCGTTATCAGTAGACGTTGCACGTTTAATTAAAAGTAATATTGTTTAATACCTGGTCCGTTTAGTTAAAGATGAATCTGGCGGCTTGGAACTTGTAATGTGAATAAATAACGAACTGATCAGTGGGGAACCACAAAAAGGAAACATTTTAAATTTTAATATTCTTGAAAATTAAACGTCGGTACTTGCGTTAAAATGGGCGTTATACATTCACCTGACACTTCTCCTGCTCTAGCATTAAGTACCCACTGAATGTGACGTCATTATTTCTTATCATTAGCACCTGAAGTGGGGAACCTAGTACCTACATTTACTCACCTTCTATACACATATCGCACAATACCGCAATACCTGTTATGTATTTTTGCTTTAGTTACTATAGTAAGTTGTAGACCAGAGATAAAAGTATAAAATAAAAAACAATTGGGCAAATTTAAAGTACATATATATGAGTATTGTTTCCCTTTTTTTAAGATAATAAAATACCTAACTTTTTTTAAATAATTTTATTCAAACTTATTGTTTAAAAGTTATTATTTTCCCTCTTCTTATATAATATAATAACCATATTATAATAGCAGAGGTCTCCATTTTTAAACAGTTTGCAAATAATTTAGAATTTAATTTTAAAAATATTATTCCCCAGTTATTACAAAAATTTAAGGGTAATAAAGAGAGCGTATGTCGCTAGTAATAGATTAAACCATTTTTATTAAAAAATAATAAAAATAAAGAATATTTGAGTCTTTTGTAATATATTTTGTTACACTTTTATGTGCGTGCCAATTTTTTTGCGAAAATTATTCTAGGGTTTCCAACGCTTTCATAGAAGTTTATGCAATATTTTATAGGTAGTTTGTAGGCCTACCTATTCAAGTAAAGTTAACAATAAATAAAAGCATGAAGGACAAGAGTGTTGGATGCTTTACAAATATTTACTAGTAGTTGAAACATTTCGTTGTTATTCATCTCCTCATTTAGGGCCATAAATTTTATTCAACATTTTATTATTAATGTCCGTAAATAAAAAATTGTCAGATAAGGAGCATTACAACTTTGTAGTGTTTTAGAAAACTTTTCGTATCACGTTAAAGAAGATCGTCAATCTTTTAAATACGTATTTAATGTATATTAACTAGCACTAACCTGGGTTTGCCATTACCGCAAGCAGAGTAGTATGATGGGTTGCATATATTGCAGATTTAGAAAAGATATTAGTTATAATACTTATAGAAGTATGAATAATTTCTATAAATAATTATTATAAGTGTAAAGAGAAAAGAAGGTACTAATTCGTTAAGTTAAAAGCTAAAAAATCATTGATTCTTTTAAGTGGCGTTATTTTTTGAATTGTTCGCGCGAAAAACTTTAGAACTATAGGTACTTTAGAAAGAGTGTATTACAATTTAATTTATAAACCACTTTTCGGATGAATTAATCATTTTATTGCACTTCTAGAAACAACTATACATCTAATCTGGAAAAATCACTAATTTCTTTTGATCCAATAAAGAATATGCTAATTTTATCTTAATTTTAAATAACTACATAGGCAACGTGGATGCATAAGTACTTTGGTCAATTTTGACGTAAGGGTATTAAATAATGTTTAAATTTCCGAAATTGCTGTAATGTTTTAGTATTCAAAATACCGGTCTGGAAGTTTTCAAAATATTGGGAAGAGTATACGTGTGGTTTATTGTGATTAATACTTTGTTGTTAATCATATGCAGGGAATATTAATACATCCGGCATGACAGTCACTTTTATAGAACTTTATAAATAAAACTTGTTTTAGGTTATGTAGAGAAAGTAATTTATTAGTGTGAATATTAAAACATATTGAATTAAATAAATTCTTTCAATATATAAAAATGGGCTTGCTATTAGGAAAATTAGGGGTAAGACTTATCAATATGAATGAAATTTAAATTATTTCATTTTGTGAGTTTCCTAGAAAAAGAAGTCAGCTATAGAGGAACTGGAAGGTATTGATAAGGAAATTAAACATTTAGAAGAATCACGAAAAGATACGGAATTAACGAGAAGAAGAATTGTTGGTCGCTTTGTATTAGTTTCAGTGATAGTGTATATATTGGTGGCATTTATATTTTATTTTTTCTTCTTTCCGGCTTCATTTTATGACCGCCTCTACTACATTATGCCCCTAATTGTTGCTCCTGTAATGTATGTCTACATTTACAGTATTTTGCCTTTATTAATAATAATTTTGTTTTAGAATTATTGTTTTAAAAAGAACAATGGCTTGGTATTTCAATAAAAAAATTACAAAAGCCCAGACAAAATTATCAAAATTGCAAGAAGAGAAGAAGAGACTTATTGACAAAGTTATGGAGACTGAAACTTACAAAGTAGCAAAACAAATCTTAGATAAATATGCACCAGACCAAAATAAAAAGCCACCTATTGCCACTTCACTTACACCGTACACACCATCTGCAGGTGATTCATTTATATTTTGATTTTCTAATTAATTTATTCATCCATTATGAAGTTTTATCAGAATAGACTAGTGACAATGAATCAATACAACCTTGCTGGATTAATAAATTAAAATAAATTGAATATGTAAATTCTATTCTAAAACTTCTACACTTCTACTTTTTTTTATATTTGCTCAGGTAGATACCCTATTTTGGAAAGTATCTCTTCTACATTAGGTATTTATTAGGCTTACTACATATTTTTCTATTGTGTGAAGTTAATTCTGTAATTACTAATTAACAGGAAATAACAACTTAATCAAGAACTTTTGTGGATTTACCTTATTACATATTATGCTATATGTGTACATTGTCCCAACATTTGTAATATTTTAATTTTACTGCTATTTTCAAAAAAGTATTTTAATCTACACTAACAGTTAGATAGCAATCAAAAGCAGCATGTGAATCAATTCCTGTATTGCTTTGTATTAACTTATATAATATAAAAAAAAATGAAATGATGCTATAAAAATCGATAAAGTT